TTGACCAAGACACATACATATATATATATACCAATAACAGCGAACAACCAAATTCTTATACCCTGATGTGGGAACAACTGGTTCAACCAGTCACTGCACGCTTGCACCAAAACAAATTGTAACCTAACCTCACTTGAAAAAGCTCCCTGTCTCTGTCATCTTTGAAAATTTGGTTTTGACAGTGCTAGCATTGTCCACCGGTCTAGTGCATACATGTACAGTAAAATCTGTATTAGAAACTGGGACTTCTATTGAAATGGTACCATGCAATAGAGGGGATGCAGCTTTTATTAGAGCATCTACACATATGAGAAATGATGAATTTTTGGTTCCCAAATTGTTCAAAAAAAATGGGTGCGGCTTCTATTAGGGATGCGGCTTCTAATACATATTTTATAGTAGTTGTGTTGCAAATCCTGCCTGATCCACATTACAGTACAAGTATATAGCTACATGGGGAATGTTAAACTTGATATCATTAGCATCAGTTCAGTATGCCCTCTAAACCCTAAATGCCAAATCACTAACGCACACAGATTTTTTATGATGCAAACAAAATTACCTTGAAAAAAATGTTACATAAGTTGAGAAACAAAATTGTTGTTTGCAATTTTAGAAGTAGCCAACAACCACATGCAATCTTCATTTTTTTTGAAGACCTCACCTTCTAGCAGTACCAAAGCTGACCCAACTATAGTTTGGGGACTCTATTTTGACTTGAGATCTTCACAAAATTAGTCCTGTTTTAGAGTGCACTCATAGTCATGGTCAAGTCTTATTTTAATGATCAAATCTCAGACTAGTAATACAACAGACTCGCAACGCGGCGTTTTCTTTTGAAGTAATGCGTGCCACGTTTGTTTAGGTTATCAGTTCTTATCGTACCGAGTAAACGTTGCTGAGCAACAAGATTTTCATTAGATCTCACAAAATAACGCGAGATCTATTTATATTACAATCAACTATCGCGATGCATCGCGAGACATAAAGACAGGAAGTGGCATAGGCGACAATAGTTGTCAGTGAACTTCGAAAATGGCATTTACGAAAAAAATTGGCGAATCTGAGGACGATAATTACGAGTGGGAAGCTATTTTAGGAGAACATTTTGACGAAGATAATGACATTTCCTGAAATTAAGAATAATAAGAAATATACTGGGCTATTTTTATACAAAACTATGACGGAAGTCAAACAAAATCACTGAAACTCGAAATAGCAACAA